TAAAAATTGGCCGATTTGGCTCGACTAGACCTGATCTTGCTCACTAATAAAGAGCTGAGGATTGTTTTTATCAAATTTTTATTTTTCAAAAATAAAATAAATTCAAAAATTTATATGTAAATACGCAAAGATTCTTCTAGACTTATGGACAAATTTAACACACTACTTAATTTATTTAGTTTAAAATTAAATCCATAATTATGGATTATAATCTTTCATATTAGCTACAGATAATTAGGAGATATCGTAGTCAAAATGAACTGTAATTATTGTTTTGTTTACTTTTGTTCTGATTAATCCAATTTGCATAAAAAATAGCATTATGCCCTTCCATGGTTTCAGTTAATCTTTCTTCTTCTTCTTATTTTTTATTATTCTTATTCTTAAAACTTTTTCAATCGCTCCAGTCATTCGAATGACTATGACAGTGTCAGGGTCAAAAACTTTTTAAAGGAAGGATACAGAGCGAAGTCCCCAGAAGACTGAATGTAATTCGCTTTACCATAGGAAGGGCGCTTCAGAGAAACAGGGCTTCACACTAGAAGGCCAGGACAGGTTCGACGAGAGAGTCGATAGATTCATCCGTCATCAGACTCTACGAAACCGCACATTACGGGAAATGAGATAAGAAATCTAATAAGACAAGTCCGAAATGTTTCGATTTCCTCCAAGTCTTTAAGAAGAAGACTCAATGAAAATAACCTCGCGGCCCGGCCGCCGGCTCGTGGACCTCTTCTTACCACTGTTTAGAAAATGGCCAGGTTTTACTTCGCAAGGGAATATTTGAATTGGACATTAGAATATTGGGAACGAGTTCTCTTTACAGATGAGGTGAGAGTTCAGATGTGTGTAATTTCATATGGAGATCCTCAGGAGAAAGGTACACCCCATGCTGTATAGTTCTTCAGATTCATTTCAGGTGGGTCATTGATGCTCTGGGGTTACATTTCTTTAGACGTTATTGCACGAGGAAGATCTCTAATTTTACTTACAAGACATAATGGAAGTTATAGTGCCATTTGCCCACCACATCAGTGAGGGATTCTTGCTAATGCACGGATAATGCTAGACCCCATAGAGCACGTATTGCTGATAACTACCTGAATGAGGTTGGAAATGAGGGCTTGGTGTGGCCAGTTCGAAGTTCGGGTTTGAACCCAAACACATTTGGGACCAACTTAAGTGAAAAGTACAACGGCCAACCCCGAGTCCCAACACCCTAGAAGAGTTGGAAACAGCTGTTGTTGAAGAATGGGAAAGAAATCTTCGGGATTTTATCAGAAATCTTTTCCAAGGAATGCAAAGGCAAATAACGGACATGATTCGTGCCAGAGGTGGAAATACTCGGTATCAAAGGGGATAAAAAAGTTTTTTCTTTAAACATTGTCATTTATTCGTTTTTGATTTTTTTTGTTTCATTACTCAATAATTGTTTTATTGCAAGAATTAGGTAATAAACATTTTCTTTTTAAATTTCTTATTTTTACAACCAAACCTATTTTTGGTCTGCAAAATATGAATAAACCTAGAATTATTATAATTTAAAGGTGGTGCGTTAATTTCGTCCATCAGGTTATTTTGAAATAACTAGTTTTTCCTTTTTTTAAACTAAAATTTAAACCAAAAGCATTATATCTTCATATTCCCACCCGTGCCCATTAAATGTATTAAATTGTAATAAAATTGCGGTTCAGAATGGCTATCTAAATTTTTAAAATTACCAATTAAATTTTGGAAGCCTGTAAAAATTACCAAGTGATACTTTGGCTAACAAATCGTTCAGGGACAACTGTGTGCATTTTGGTTGTTTCCTGTCCTCGCCGTTTTGGTCACGTTCCGGCTTCTTGCCGTCTTTAGTGGTGGATCTTCCAAAGTGATCAGAAACGACCATTTTTTTGTTCTTTACTCAATAATTGTTTTTGTAGAATTATGCAATAAATATTTTCTTTTCAAATGTCTTATTTTTACTGCTAAACCTACTTTTGCTATGCAAAATATGAATAAACCTAAATATGTACATTCAAATTTAAGGGTGGTGCGTTTATTTTGTACGCCAGTGTATTTTATGTCGGTTAGATTGGTATTGCATCAATTCAACACAAAAATTGGTCCGTTTGACTTGGCCATACCTGTTCATTCTGTCCTAAAAGGACGTCTTTACTAAATAATTATTTAAAAACAAAAACAAAACTATAAAAACATATATTTAATAACGTAATAGTTTAACAACGATTGTATTAATCCAAGGTTGAAAATTTCACTAAGCTCGTTCTTCCTGTCCAAAAGACCAGACCGACTTTTGAAAATTGGCTTGATAAACAAAAATCATTTTAAAAAAATGTAGGTAATGACGTAGTAGCGAATGTATTAATTCCACTCAAAAACAGCCTTTTTGATTTGACCAGACCTGATGTTGGTATCCAAAACCACGAGTAAGAAAAAAGTAAGTAAAGTTTAAGACAGAGTATCATTTATGCCAAATACTCTTTCAAAACTAAGCACCTCAGTTGAAGTCCCTTTTAGTCGAATTTGACAAGGTTCCCAATATCGAGCCGGGCTTTTTCCCTCGACCTGGGCGAAAGGGGGTAAAACGATGATCCGGCCGATTAATAAAGTCAGGCTCCCTTATAACGACCCCCGGGATGTTTTGGTTCTGAGTAATAATTTTTTGGCCCCTTTACAAAAGAGATTAAAGGAATTTCACGTGCCCCGAGCCATCCTACTTCCACGGGGATAAATTTAGAATTTTTTCCCCTTCCCCCGACGGCCAAGCCTTATTTATTCCTTAACGCGGGATGACAACTGCCCGTCGCTCGGAATTGGGTCAAAGTTTTGTTTATATCCGTAGTGGTTTCCAAAAAAGTTTAAAAATCTTACGACGGCCCAATAACGCACCGGCGCGACATGGGACGTCTTAGAGCCCTAACTGAACGCCCATCCCGTAAAGAACCCATCGATTTTGGAGAAATTCAATCTCACTCGGGTAATTCAATTTAATACCAACCTGGACAACTAAACATTGATCGGAGTAATTCAATTTCCCTTTCAAACTTAGAATCGCGACTGGCGGATTTACAACCAAGGTGCTTCATACAAATTGATTCCTAAAGTTATTAGCGATTAATTATTTAGCGATAAGTTAGAGCCCTCAAAGTAAGAACAGGAAATGAAGGGGACAAAATAAAATGTATTATAAATATTTTTTTATATTTCATTTATTTGTACTAACAACTCTACATATATTATATACAACCAGCAGCTTGGATTTCAATTTATGTTTGTGGCTTTATAGAGAAAGCTACCCATTAACAATATGATATTAATCCTTTAAGAGTTCTCTTATCTTATTCGGCCGACAACTTCCACTATAACGGACTTTAACTGAGGAGCTTAGCCCGGTTTTGGATACCAAGATCAGGTCTGGCCAAATAAAAAAAAAAGGTTGAATTAATATTAGGATGAATTAATACAATCACTATTTAAGGACATCATACATATACGTCATTACCTACATTTTTTTAAAATGATTTTTGTTTATCAAGCCAATTTTCAAAAGTCGGTCTGGTCTTTTGGACAGGAAGAACGGGCTTAGGGAAATTTTCAACCTTGGATTGATACAATCGTTGTTAAACTATTGCGTTATTAAATGTATGTTTTTATAGTTTTGTTTTTGTTTTTAAATAAATATTAAGTAATGACGTCCTTTTAGGGCAGAATGAAAAGGCATGGCCAAGTCAAACGGACCAATTTTTGTGTTGAATTGATGCAATACCAATCTAACCGACATAAAATACACTGGCGTACAAAATAAACGCACCACCCTTAAATTTGAATGTACATATTTAGGTTTATTCATATTTTGCATAGCAAAAGTAGGTTTAGCAGTAAAAATAAGACATTTGAAAAAAAATTTATTGCCTAATTCTTAAAAAAAAACCACCTTAGAATCGCGACTGGAGGATTTACAACCAGGGTGCTTCATACAAATTGATTCCTAAAGTTATTAGCGATTAATTATTTAGCGATAAGTTAGAGCCCTCAAAGTAAGAATAGGAAATGAAAGGGGCAAAATAAAATTATTATAACTAACCTAAATAATATGAAGTCTAAACGAATCAAATCGTTTTATTTCCTAACGTATCAACTTTAATTATAAATCCATTTATTTATTTAGTGGTCTTAATTGGCCGTAATAATTACTTTAGTTTATTACACTTTGCATCTAAGTTCATTGTTGAGATATAAAAGGTAGTGGTCACGAGCGGGATTCGAACCCACGACCTTCGGCCAATAAGCAGCTCTAACCACTTACAACGTGAGTAAAGGATTGAGGGGTCGCCCGCCAAGTTGGTAGGGTACATAGGTTAATTGTATACAGGTTTGGTCCTAGGATACTTGCGGAGCGCTGGCCTTGATGAGCTTGATTTCTGCAAATCCAGAGCCAATTTTTACATTTAATACCAGGAAACTTATGAACATCAATAATAAGCGTACATTAGTTACTCTATTCAAAGTTTTCAAAATAAGATAATTAATTCACACTTCTAGAATGCATCCACACGCAATTGCTCAAAAAAAAAAAAAATACAATGAACACAGAAAATAGATGAATAGAGTAATCTATAAAATAGATCAGTCCTATATCTCTTGTCAAGAGACTTACATGAAATGATCACATAAAAAGCTCTAGTTCCATTCAAATCTTTTTACCATTTTTTTTTGTCCCATGATATGATAAAGAATCAAACACTACATAAATACGGGTATCATCCAGTGACTTCAATTATTCAAGAAATTTGTAGAAGCCAACACATTTTTGAGGGTTATAAAGATCACAGTAACCTGTCTGAGAGAACAACCTCAAACCTTAATCCGACAAAGACATCGACAGATTACAAAATGGGTTAAATAAAATAACATACCGACGACGTGTATACCAAACAAGCGAGACTAGGCGGAAATCGTCAACGGTCAAACTACAGGCGATTTTTTTGTTTCAGTACCTTACCCGGCGAATCCCCCAGAAGAACAGATGACGCAAGGTGAGCTGTGTTCTTTTCTGAACTTAGATCAAAGGTTTTCTCTTTCGTTGAACTTTTTAGCTTTCAGATGGTCCGATGAGCATCGCGGATTTCAACCCGAGGTGCGCTATGTTCTCCGCGGGCATCCCAGAGTCGCAGACGTTCTTCTCGCCCAGTTTCCCAGCCAACTATCCAAACAACACGGAATGTGTTAAAATAATCGAAGGTGAGAGAGGAAAATAAGAGGAATACAGACTATTTCTAAACGAAAAAACTCGGTTCGTGTTTTTTTCCAGCTCCTCCGGGGCATTATCTTGAGCTCGACTTCCGGGACAAATTCCGGCTCGAGCCTTCGGAGGATTGCAAGTTCGACTACCTCGAGATCCGCGACGGTGCCAACGGTTACGATCCACTTATCGGCACGTACTGCGGGTTCGCTTATCCTCCCAAGATCTCCTCCGTCGGTCGGTTCCTCTGGCTCAAGTTCAAGTCGGACGGCAACACGGAGTACTCCGGCTTCACCGCCGTCTACAAGTTCCTGCGGATGACCGGTGAGAACGAAGTTCACGCCCCTTATACAGGTTTAATCACATAACGTCGATTTCAGGCAAACAGATCCCAGAGGCGCACTGCGAGATCAAAATGAGCGGGATTCAAGGGTATGTCAACAGATCGGACGCAGACCCAGCGAGCGTGAATCGCACCATCGAGTACAAAGTGCCCCTCGAGTGCATGTGGACGATCAGAGTCAAAGTAGGATGGAAGGTAAATATAAGCCCGTTTTATTAAGCAAACATTAGTAGTACGTTGGAACTTTGAGGAGATTAACTCTTGCATTGATCGTTTTCGACAATCCCTGTCTGATGGTGAAAATCGCTTGAAAGTAAAACAGGTGAAAATAGGCGGACCAAGACGATCAAGCACTGCTCAAATTCAAAAAAGATGGGAAACTTAGTATCAACGATGACCACCAGAGAAACTGATGATAGTGTTCAACGTTTTACCTTGTTATAACTGTGTGATATGAAAAAAAATTGAAAATATTTTTTTTAAATAAGGGATGCTAATTTAATATTCTCTTCTCTCAGTAATTAATTCTGTTCCAAATTTGTTTGGATCCATCGTTCAAAGGGCTCATTGTGTTCAAACAAAACCTTATTTTGTCATGAAATATATAATTAAAATCTGAACCCACATAAATTTCAGGTTATGAAATACAAAATGAAACTAAATAATTCGAAATATAAGTGGAAATGTGCAGAACAAACCTGATTTCTGATGTTATGAAGGTACATCACACGAAAAGTCATCTTAATTAAAAAGTTTTAAGATTCCTTCTAAGGCTTTGTAAGGTCTTAATTCGAAGGGTATCGATTTTAGACGACGGGGGACTTAAAAGAAACTCGGGGTTCGTCCAAAGGAACCAACTCGAATTCATTCCGAAAGTCGCTAGGGCTCAAGTTCGTTTCGGTTGTCAATTAATGTTGCCTCTCCTCGTTTAATTACAGGGGACGAAAAGTTAATTACAGGAAAGTTTTCCGACAAAATGCTTATTATCAAACCGGCAAGCCTGTGCCAAACTATACTGGAGGCTTTGACGCCAGATTTTCCCCCTAGAAACAGGTACTATCTAGGTGTGCCAATTAAATACCAAATATTGGCAAAAAGTAAAAAAAGAGCTCTCATTGAGCGTTAGAAGAGGAATTAAATTCATCAAATTGAAATTTTTCCATCACTCTCTCAAGACATCGCTGTATCAGTTTACTATTCGTTTCGTCCCGGGAAAAACCTTTTGAAGAGGACAATATTACATTCCGAAAAAAAAATCTATTCAGACATTCTTAAATTAAAAAGACAGGCTTTCGTTATGAAACTAATTAAATTTTCGCCTGACAGGTGATAAAAGAAGACAGGAGAAAATAGGTCATAGGTTGCTTCCAGATATTTTCATTCGCCTATCTTTGCTGTTTTAGTCTCTCTAATGCGCCATCTTCATCGGTAAATCTGACAGAGAGAATACAAGAAAACAGAAAGGATAGGCAAATCAAAATGATTGGAAATGACAAAACTACAAGGTTTATCTACTCGTTCATATTATGAATTTTATTTATTTACATACAAATAAATAAGCCAGTATTAAAGTATACTCCGTGGGTTACAGATTCAGCTGAACTTTCAAAAGTTCGACCTGAAGGTGCCGAACGACTGCGACTCCAACTACGTTGACATCTACCCGGAGAACACAGACATGCCGAGCCAGATCAACAACTTCTGCGGCTCGATCGCAGACACTGTCCAGTCCCCTGAAAACGTGCTGCGCGTCAGATTTTTCGCCAAGCCGGAGGCGATCAACAGCAGTTTCACCGCCATCTACACCGCCTACCGCGAGAAGCCCAAGGGCGAACCAGTTGGTTGCGAAGAGGACGAGTACGACTGCGAGGACGCCACCTGCATCTCGGACGAATTGAGGTGCAACGGAGTCAACAATTGCCGTTTCAGATCCGACGAGGATCCGGCTAAATGCCAAGTAAGGACGTACAAATCTTCAATCATTTAATGTATTCAATGATCCCGATCGACCCAGCCAAGGCTTATTTTTTAAGCCTTCTTAAGAAGCATGGCGGAAAGACTATGCACTTAATAACTTTGACTTTGTCGACAGTATTCAAATAAAATTTTGTAGTTTCTGGTTGCTCATAATTTTTGGTTTTCGACATGTCTAGGAAGCATATTGCCCTGTTCCTGAAATTAGAGATATGAGCAGAAGGTTTTTGAAGTCTAAGGGCCTGGAGGTTTTTGTTGTCTATTCGAGTGCGAATGATGAGGTTATTCCGATTTTAAATAAGAATCGAGGTCTTGTCCACCGTTGGAATTGAGACCTCTCATAGTTTGCGTTATGGGTCTTCTTTTGTACGTAAACACTACTGATTGTAAGTTTATTGTTGTAAGGTTTACTTTCCATTTCGTCACAGCCATCGATGAGGAATCTCCTGCTTTTTCGGTGCTGCTCTCATAATTTAATGGGCTTTATCGTCAGCTAATTGGACCACCAACTCTTCTCTATGTGTGTGCTATGCTAATCTAAGCAAAAAATTGTTCTAGTACCTGCCTTAGGATGTTTTCCGTGATTCTATGTTTTATAGATGCACCTCCATGTAACCATGTCCGTTATTACGAGGGTAAATGCCCGAAAGATAATCTTTAATTTTAAGAAGCATAAATCATTCAATCACTTTTCCATAATTGCTGGGATCTGAAACTAAATTGGGTATTATGAAAATTGAAGCAGTATCCGATGATCTTGACCTCCTCACGCAGAAGTTTTCGTCAGTTTTGCGGCTGAATTTCCAGTCACGTTTAGGTTGGTGGTAGCATGCCTAATAGCATCCAGCCAATTCAGCTTTGGTAGTGTCTTTCCCCTATAGTTTCATTTTAACGTACTGCTTTATTTTAAAGGAAAGCTTTGGCTTTAAAGAGGAAAAAGGAGATGATTCATGTCGTTTTTAAAAATTCAGGCCCCATGGACCTGAAACAAGCCAGCGAGGAAGCAGAACGTACTTCCCGGGGAAGCAAATTCAATTGCCTTGATCCTGCAATTCCGAAAGAAGGCTAAAGTTTTAGAGGAGTGTTAAAGGCTTGATTTGTCGTTTGTATAAGGAAAATGGGAAAAAAGTTGATAGTAAGGATATTTATTTGATTTAATTTTACTTTAAATTAAAATTCTAAGTTTATAAGTGCTTAGAATGTTATGGTTTGTTGAATACATTAATATGGAAAGAAGTGGGATCTCTTGGTTAGATCATAAAGTACTTAATGCAGGAGTGATAACCAATTTGATGGCAGATTGAGAATCTAAGGAAAGAAGGAACGTTGAGAAAACTAAACTGCTCAAAAATGAATAGGGATATTGCCAATTTTGTAGTATTTACTTTCCCTAGCATTTTTATTTTATTTTTATAGAGACAATGGGGGGAAGGGGCAGATGGGAAATTCCCAGGTTTTCTAAACATTGATGAACAACTCTGTCTCTATGAGGTTTGGCTTGGTCACCCAGAAATCGAAAATCCCTACCAACGAGATCCCTGGTTTAAGGGATGTATTCCTCGGTAATTTCTTGGATATAATGGACTGCGGTGAGGTCGCCTTCAACATTATGGAGTCCAGTTCGTCCTCCAGTGTAAATCTCAGCCCAGACCGTCACATCGCCTCCTCCAAACTGCACGGAAGGGAGCACAAACTGGGGAATTGTATGTATCCCCTGTTCTCGGTAGACTTTTCGGCGCCTGCTATCACTATATAGACAGAAACGCGACTCATCAGTAAACATAACAGCAGTCCAATTGGTGTTCTCTTCTAGTTGCTTACTGCACCGTATTCACTTGCTGTGCGGCCCACGGTCAGGTGCATTGTTTGGCAAGTGCCCTCGGAAGGGCAAGAAGGCCGTTTGGGTCCTTAGGGGCCTGGACGGCTTTTCTACACCGAGCTCGCGGGCATGGCCCTAACCGTCCGCGAGCAGAGGTGCGTCGCCTCCCACCTTGAGAAACAAACGTCTGATAAGGCCATGTGCCAGGTGCGGACGAAAAAGAACCTCATCATCGAAAGAGACGATGCGACCCTGAAAGGGAACTTGATGCACCGTATTCACCTGAGTTGCTGGTGGCAGGCTATTGCTGCAGGTCATCTAAAGGTACATACGATATAAGGCCAACTTCCCACAACGATTACAAATCGTTTATGTTGATAAAGGCCTTGCCAAAACATCTTTTACTTTATTTAGGATCTGGTCGGCACTATGGAAAGGCTTCCGTCTTGCAGCAATGACAATATTTCTGTCCTCCCTTTAGCGTCGTAATGCGCTGAGATCCACTACCAGGCCATCTTGGCACTTCCAGTCTCTCGGAATCGGGCTAAAGTCCTGTAGAGCACCCTCTGAGAAACGCCATCGGCCGCTGCGATATCCTCTTGCGATATTGCGAATTTCTGGTTCTATGGTTAAAAAGGATTAAAACAACTGATTAATATGGAGAAAAGACGAGAAAAGGTGTTTGTTTACAAAATGAGTAATCTTCATGTATGTTATTCTTAAGTAAATCCGATATTACAAATGAGGATTAACATTTGCTTGTTTTTGGTTTGTAGTTTCTATTTTGTTTTATCCAACTAAGAAAAATATATTGGTTAAATTAATTAAAATTAATAGAATAAGAGTAAATTACAGATATCCCTATTCAGTTTTGAGCAGTTTATTTCAGAATGTGTATTTAGTGACAGTTAATTAATGATTATTTGGAGATCGTGAGATGCGGTCTTGTGTGACGTAGGTTTAGAAATTCATTCTCTTTATCATGCCAACGTTTCGATCTTTATTGAGATTATTCTCAGGGCCTGGGATTTACAAACTTTTTTGGATTGTACAAATACATGTAAGATGTGAAAAAACGAATTTATACAATGGTGGAAATTTTAGACTCAATCAAAGTATATGTACTCACTCAAAGTGTTTGTTTTCTGTGTAGATGTGTCACGGTTATGTGTCGAGTTGCGAAGGTTAGGAAGAGAAAAATGTTTTTTTGAAGGATTGAGGAAGGGTGTAGCGATAGAAATTAATTTTTCTGTGTGGAGTCAGCTTCTTTGAGGTGAAAGGGGCCGACAGTGGGAAAAAAGGGTAATGGTTTGTCGTTCGGGCTTAGTTATATTTTCAGGACTATTATAGAGGATTATCACTAGGGAAATTATTGCGGATTTAGACTATGTAGAAATTGTTTGATGTGTGGAGTGAAATGATTGTTTTATATGTTATATTATATATTTTGTATGTTATTGATATCGAATTTGATTGTTAGCGTAGATGGCTTAGTTTAAATGTGTCTGTTCTCTCATTGATGCTGTGTTTATCTCTGTTGATGTAAACCATTTCTAAAAAGTTACGTTTATGTTTGTTTTGTTCTGTGTTTAATATTTTTGATTGTTAAAGTCGAAATTATAGTCCTACAGCACTAGCTACCCACCATTTTGAACACCAACACAATTTCGATCACAATCACGCAAGACCGCATCTCACCATCTCCAAATAATTGTTTCAGAATGTAAAATGTAAAAATACCCAGTCCGAAATAATTATAAATCTCTAAACTGGGTTTGACGATATGTCCATTTCTTCCAAGATGGAGGGAGTAAAATCTTCAAACAAGTGGCTCACTATGTTTAATTATTAATAAATGAAATTTGTGTTTTAGCCGAAGGAGACGGTTTTGAGCGAACACATGATCATCATCCTTATTGTATTTTTTTTCATACTCACCGGCATGTGTTTCGCCTTTCTTTTCAACTGCCTCAGAAAGCTCATCAGGGATCACAGAATAATACAGGTGCAGGTTTGAGGAAGACTTTTGAGGAAAAACAACCGTTGATTATGTTCGCCATTTTCAGGAGCACATGAGACGGTCGAGGGAAGCGAGGATGAACGAAGAAGATTCCAAAATCCCGACCGTATTTTCGAAACGTTCGGACTGCTTCGTCCCTTCGGACGAGTCCATCGTCTCCAACTTCAAATCCTCCGAGGTCGAGACGCGGGATTCGCAAGTGAGTGAGACGAGTGACCGATTCCGTCAGAACGTCTAGAAAAATTCCGTTTCAGGTGCAGACCCGCGAGTCGCTGTTCGAGACGGGACTCCCGGGGCCGAGGGAGGTGCAGCAGAACTGGTTCACGACTTTCGGCCGAGGGCCTCCGAGCGAGGAGGATTCCTCCGCCTCCGTCAGGGCCACGTCCATCGAGACGACCAAGTCCGCCCCGGACGTCATCCTCACGCGGCACTGACCTAACTTCTGGGAACCCTATAAGCGCAGGGTTCCCAGGGGCCAGCAACTTGAGCAAGAGACGCAGAGACTCTGAGGAAAACCACAAAAACAAATTTATAAAAAAGTGTTTTCGCTGTGTTCATTCTAGTTTTTATTTTTTATTTGTTACTGGTAATAACGATATTTATAAACGAAAACAATTAATTAAATTAGGAAAGACAATATTGAAAACAAGTCTCGTTTGTAAACCCTGGAACATTTCGATTTCTTCTTCTCCTAGTTAATTATCCTATTTCTATTTTTTTATCAGCAAGGATAATAAAATCCAAAATAATTAAAAATTCAAGGATTTTGTATATTCAGCAATAAAATCACTTTAATATTGACCGTCAGATCTTCTACAACTTAGTCGCCAATGAACGTTATCTACGACTTACAAATTACTGTTTCAATTACTATCTATTTTATACAATTATAATCCATGTAATCCTTTATATAATAATATTATATATAATAATAAAATAATAATAATAGAGATACAAGTATAAAACTATTATTATTAAGAGAGAAACATTTGACTGTGACATTGTCTGTGAGGAAGATCTTGCAGAATGGTGCTCGATCATTTTGGTCTGTCTGTTCTCGCATGATTTATTTTTATTATTTTTGTTGTTTAATTGGGAAAAGTCGTCAAACAAAGTCCGAGCGTCTGACATACATTTAAAAAATAAATTTGAAATTTTAACCTAAAACAAGAGAGAACAGGCAGACCGAAACGATGGAGTACCATTCTGTGGGAACACACAGACTTCAAAATGTGCATCAATTACTTATTATTAAATCCATACTCTCATTTCTTTTAGTAACGTGATTATTTAAAAAATGTTATTACAACGTAATTTTGTGAGATTTCTCTCACAGAGAGAAGTTCTAGTTTGGTTGTCTTTGGTCTTCCTGGTCTGCCTATTCTCGCCGAATATTTCATACAGTTTTCGGCTTTTCACTGTTTTAGTTCTTTGACTGTTTTCACTTAGAAAAATAAAATAATCTAAAACCAGCGAGAATCCTTCCTCTCCGTTCAGCAGTGTTTCAGACGAGTCGATTGATGCAATCGGAGGCGGATTGGGTTAAACGAGCCAACAAGTTGGGATTACGCCCAAACCTATCCCAAGTACACATAAACATGATAATACCACCATCCATCCAAGTCCGCTATCTTGGATTTTACGGAGACAACAGACTTACATGGAAATTACCAGATTAAAACCACAAGAAATCAAGAAAGGACCTACTCGGACCAAAATCAACACTTTTAGTTCCAGCAAACCTTCGGCTCGATACGCCGCTGCTATGACTACTTCAGCTATCGTGACGATCCACTCGGACACCATCTCATCTTAACATACACTGACAGGCAAAAAGTTCCACCGACTTGTAATATAACTTGATTTGTATGTATTTTTATATATTAATCCAAGTTTCAGGGGTTTTTAACTTTTAATAATTGAGTCATTGTCTAAAAAAGTAGAAAAAAAGTAAATTGCTAAGGAAAATGAAAAATGAAAGAAAAGACGGATAGATAAAATTTGTTTTAATTAGATTTTGAATTAACATTTCAATTCGCGTATTTCCTCCTCTTGCCTTAATTACATCTGGAAGACGCCTCGGCATACTTTCTACCAGTCTGGAAATGTCTCTTTACTGGAGGTTAGCCCATTCTTCACGAAGAATTCTTTCAAGATCGTGGAGTGTATCAGGAAGTGATGGACGTGCACTTATTCGTCTTTTGAGGTTATCCCATAAATGTTCGATGGGGTTCAAGCCTGGAGAACGGGCTGGCCAAGCTAAGACCCTGATATACTTTTGAAGGTTTGTACTATGCGAGTGACATGTGGACGGGCATTATCGTGCATTAGAATAGGATTGTCGATGATTTTATCGAGGATAGGCAACGCATGATGTTCCAAAATTGCATCCACACAGCGAGTGGCCGTCAAAGAACAACAACAACCAACTCTGTACGACTCCATTGAAATTCCCGTCCATACCATCACTGAGCTACGTGGAAAACGTTGACTCTGGGAAAACTTACAGGCTTCGTACCTTTCATTTCGCTTTCTCCACACTCTTTCATGCCCATCTGGAGAACGTAGAGCAAATCTACCCCCATCTGGTAAAGTCCAGCAGACCAATCGTCCAAAGACCAATGGCCGTGTTCTCGAGCAAATGCGAGCCGTGCAACTACGTTTGTTCTAGTCGATTCTGGTCCTCTTACAGGGCGAAAAGCCATCAGCCCATTCTGATTGCATCTTCTTTGTGCAGTGCGTTCAGAAATTTGGACACCTCGAACTTCCTGGAGCTGATGAATCGCTTGAAGTAAGTTGCCGGTTACGCAAATTCTCAAAGTCCAAAAACGATCATCCTGTGGTTCTGTTACCCTAGAGCGTCCAGAACCTGGCCTTCCATGGTAGGACCTAGTTTCTCGAAAACGTCTAATGGCGTCTCGCAGAGGACTTCGATGGCAATGGCCGCACACCTGATGGGGCCAGCATCAATAAGTGCCACACCACGCGTAAAAAGTGGCATTTTTAAGTTTAAAAATGGAAATTAAGAAAACAAAGATGAAGACAGCAGTTTATTGCTTCAGAATTCAAGTGAGACTGAATAAACATTTGAAATTCCGTAGAAAGTAAATATTGAAAAATCCTTTATCCTTATTTTGGGTCAATTGGGTGAAATTTTTTGCCTGTCAGTGTATGATTTTCACATTTCAAAATATGACAAAAAGTGGGAAAAATTCGAAAGTTTATAAGCTGAGCCGAACGTCGTGGGTTGAATCCCGCTAATGACCCTAGTGTTTTCATCCCAACCAAGACTTTAGATAAAAATATAAATAATTAAAACAACTATATCATTTACTCAATGTGTGTTTATTTTGTACATATAGCAATAAATTAAATAAATTTAAAAAAGTAGTTCAGATACTATGTGAGGACATGGAGGTATTGATCCTGCAACATGATCTAAATTCGTCCAAATCTTCTTATTCTTGTTGGCGTTACTTGACAATTTCATATTTTCCTTCACCTTTCTTGTACAAATTGTGACACGTGGTGATGTACATTTAGTAACTGAATATAGACGTGGAAAGTAACCAGCGAGACCAGGATGGCCAGGATCATGTGAGACATAAGATCGGAATTTATTCTCGTTTAGCAACATTGCCTAATTATTTTTGTTTTTCATTCCAAAAAAGGGTGATCGTTGTTACCAATTAAGAGGAAATTAATATGACTCATATCCCATATTTTATCTAATCAGGATTTCATAGGAGGACTCGTGTTTGTCAAATGTTTTTATCTGAGGCGTGGCAGGTGCGAGCACAAACTCGCGGCAATCCCTGATAAGATTAGGTCTCGCCTATTTCCCAACAATTCACTTGAGTATTTCAATTCAGACTGAACGAATTCTACCGTTTTCAACTGATTTGCGCACTTTCTTCTATTGTACGACCGAGGATGAGGAAGGCGTTTTTCCTTACTTTCGCCTCCTTTTGGCTCTTCAGCGCCTCGGCTTCCCGTCCTCCGCAAAGTCCGAGGCCCAAATACCAAGATGTATTCAACGTGAACAGGCAAAGCAGGCCTCAGGCGAGAGCTGGCATAGGTCCCTTCGGAGGACCCAGGGACCCTTTTAACCCCAACAACGGTAAGTCCCAACCGACATTATCCATTACGACTGTCTGAAAATCTTTGTATCAAATTACCAAGCCATTAATACTATGAACCGTTTATGTCTTTTTGACGAAAAACGATAGTTGAATGAACTTTATCAACGTAAAAGCGAACAAATCCAGCGATGTTTCTCCTCAAGTGTTTTATTTTTTAGATCAACCCAATTGAATCAAAACCACTGCAAAAATGTTTATTATCTTCGCCAAAAAAAAACATTAATAAAAAATATAGTAAAAATAATTTCGCCCGTCTTTAGATATTGACGACGACAGGACTGCACCCTCGGGAGACAGGCCGGGCCCGGGCGACTTGCCCTATGTCATCTCGGAGGATAGACTTCGGAAGATCCGTTCCAATTTCCTCTATTGGTTCTTCGACAAGGGCGGACCAGACGGGCATGGCGATCTGCAGAAGGACATCCACTCGTCTTCCACCCAGATCCACAAAAACTTCAACTTCCAGCTACCTTTCTTCGGCTTTCGATTCAATTATACAAGGGTCAGTTGAACACACACACCCACACCCACACACACACACACACACACACACACACACACACACACACACACACACACACACACAGAGTCACAAACACCCACGACCACCACCACCACACACTCTGATAGTTCTATGTAGTGAGTAAATGATTTTAGGTGTCCTTAAACGGTTATCTCGAATTTTCGGACCCACCAGAGCAATTCACGTATCCGCTCCAGTTTCCGACGACCGAGTGGCCGAGGAAGAACGATCCCAGTTTCATCGGCATATTCTATAGTAAATGCCGTATCGGCCAGATCCGGGACAACGACGTAGATCAAAGGCCGGCGGGACTTTACTTCAGGTAAAGCCAAGAACGAACAAGAGGAGGGCATCTTCAACTATTTCTCTACTTTTCACAGGATGGAACGTGATTTAATGACGAGGACAGACCGTTTCGGCGTGGAGATGCGAGAGAGGCTCAAATGGGACATTAGAGAAGGGGTCATCGGTTCGGATTCGTTCGTACCGAAGCACGCGGTCATCGTCACATGGAAAAATGTCACTTTCGCGGGTGGAATCGAGACCGCTATGCAGACTGTACGTACAAAGAATAACCGAAAAGATGAGCATAATGATATAAAAATATATTTTTCAGACGAACACCTTCCAACTAGTCCTGGCGACAGATGAAGTCATCACCTACGCTATGTTCAATTACGCGGACATCAAATGGACCACGCATACCGAAGCGAACGGTGATACGACTCGAGGTGAAGGCGGGACACCCGCGTTCGTCGGTTTCAACGCTGGAAACGGTACTCGATCTTATCAGTACGCTCCTTACTCTCAAGTACGAAAAAGCCGATTTGGGAAATAAGAAAATCAACAAAAATAATTACTCACTGGGCATTTTAGGCAAGTACTATTCGAGATCTGACCGGTCGGGGTTGGGCGAACGGTTTCCCAGGAAGACATATGTTCAGGATAGACGAAAATATCCTGCCAGGATCTTGCAACAAAGACATTGCGGCTGCGAGTCTAGCGCTCAACTTCGCCCCAGAGTCAGGCAACATGCTTGGCGGTACTATCGTTAACATCACAGGACCGTGTTTCAACAAAGAAATGAAGATTATATGCAGGTAAGGTGGTTGTTGCCTAGTGTCGAGGAAAGTAGATGAGAGAGAAAGAAAGTTATCGAGAGGAAGAATAGAAGGAGAAAGAGAGAAAGTGGGAGGACTTGGATTCTGTTATGAAAATAAATAGGTTCATTATTATATGAGTTTGATTATTGATTTGCTCTAGGCATAAGTCTACGTGATGTCATTAATGATCTGAAGTATATTCTATATATCTTTCTTCCAGGTTTGATACAACTCCTACCCTTGGAACTGTAGTGGACACTAACCGTGCCATATGCGTCCAGCCTTTCATCATGGCTGAGGGATACATTCCGTTCGAGATTTCGATCAATGACGACAAATACATATGGAAAGGCTTGTTCTTCGTCGGTAAACATTCGTCATTAGTCTAAAAGTAGAAAACACGAATTTTGAGCCAAAACCTTGTTTCTAGAAACTCCTGCAACGGCCGCTCAGAGGATATCGTTCGCGGACAACAAGATAAACGATGCTTACCCGTCAGATATTAAAATAACGTGGAACAAGTACAATTTGACGTCCAACACGGCAGCTCCTCTTCAGATATCCATCTGGGGATATAAGGAAACTAACATTTCCCCCAAGTTGCTGTATATCGATCTCATAGAAGCCGGTGTGGCCAATACGGGCAGTTATGTTATTCAACCCGCAAGTTTCAGAAACAGGAACAACTATGAACTTTCCGAGCTGACCTTCGGATTCATTCAGATCAACCTGACTAATCCGACGCAATACCAAGGCCTTTCGATTACCCCGTAAGTGTTATTTTATTGTTTTAGCTATACAAATCGGTATACCACGTATATTTTAGAGTTATATGGAGTAAACCGATCCCACTTGGTTGGTACTTCGCCCCTCAATGGGAGAGGGTCTACGGCAAGAAATGGCCGGAGGCAAAATGTGACCAGTGGCTCATGAACGATCGGTTTCTCAAGAATTTCGCCAACGAGCTCGCGCAGTGTCCTTGCACGCTTTCGCAGGCTTTGAACGACAAGGGACGTTTCCTCCCCGACCCGGACTGCGATATGATAGCGAATCCCAACTGCTTCTATCACAAGGGAGCCAGGCATTGTGTGAAAACCGGAGCTCCCAAGTAAGCTTTCGGCTTTTCTTCGACGCGGGATAAAAATTCATTTTGATTGTGTGTGTAGCTTGGAAGGAGCGGAACAGCAGTGTTGCTACGATAAAAACGAATATCTGATGCTCTCCTACGACCAACAGTGGGGTTCGTCGCCGAAGAGGTCTTCCAATCTGGGGCTCCTTCCGTGGACGGAGCCGAACAAAGTGCCGACCCTCTCTCAATGGTGGCACGACATGAGTCCCTTCTACCACTGCTGCTTGTGGCAGTCGGAGCAGGCGGTTGGTTGCGAGACCCTCAGGTTCGAGAGACGACCGAGCCAAGACTGCGTCGCCTATCAATCACCTTACATCGCCACCGTCTTCGGCGACCCTCACATCGTCACTTTCGACGAGCTCGAATATACCTTCAACGGCAAAGGCGAGTTCGTCCTCTTACACTCGTCTACGGACAAATACAAGCTCGACGTCCAGGGCAGATTCGAACAGGTCAGCCGTAACATTTACGGCGAATCTGATGCCACCCTTCTCACATCTGTAGCCGGTAATTCTTTTTCTTCAGCTATCACGAACGTATTAACATTGAAAACTCTTTTTTAGCGAGAGGAAATAACTCCGCTATCATCGAAGTACGTCTCCGTCCGAGATACGCCCAGTGGCGTTACAGACTTGACGTTTTTGCGAATAAAAGACGGATCTTTTTCGACCGACCCGCTTTCAGGGTACAGCACTTCCGTGGTGTGACAGTTTACCAACCGTCGCAGGTACTCGACCAATCACAGATAGTCATTATGTTCGAAACGGGTGTCGGTGTAGAGGTTGTGGAAAACAAGGGCTACATGGCTTGCAGGGTGTATTTACCTTGGATGATGATCGTAAGCTCATTATACATTTAATTTTTTAATAGTAGAATTTAATTGCCCATTTTTGAGTGCAGAATCAAACTCGAGGATTGCTGGGTAACTGGAGTTTCGACATGACCGATGATTTTACAACACCCAACGGTGACATAGTTCAAATCGGCGATCTTCAAGATTTCGAAAGGATCCACAAGGATTTCGCGATCAAATGTAATTTTTTAAAAATAATTTTATTTGTAAATTGTATATGACGCAGAAGACGGACCCAACAAAGGTCCGATGCCGACCCAGCACCGACTCGTAGACCAACACCCAGCATCAACTGTAATTCGGTTGTTTTGTCGACAGGGCTTTTAGAAGATAAAGCCGACCCAAGGAAGGGAGAGCCTCTATTTATCCGTGAATACGGTAGAACTGCGTCGTACTACACGAACAGGACGTTCGTCCCGGAATGGGGGAAGACACCGCAGGACATCCTCCCGCCCAACAGGACCAAGGACATTCAAAGGGCCGAAGAACTTTGCGGAGACTCATACCAATGCAAGTACGACTACTCGGTCAGCCTCAACAAAGAGCTGGCTAAGCAGACTCTCGAATACTACAGCGAGTTCACTTCGATTAAACACATAAATAAAATGCGAAGTGAGTGTTTTTGTAAACGTTTTAACCATCTCCATAACTAAAGATTAAAATTCACGCTGTAAATATTTATAGCTATGAGTTGCGGTGTACTCGAGACGCCGAGGTTCGGCAGGAAGAGCAACTTCTTTTTTGTTCCTGACACGAAGGTGATATTTGAATGCGACCAAGGATTCATCCTCGTCGGTGACCAGCAGAGAAAATGCTCTGCCCAGGGGAAATGGATCGAAGGGGACATCGGCTACACTGAGTGCCTGAGTAAGTATATCATGTTTTCATTGCTGTTGCATTCACGGTCCTACAAGTATTATTTATACCTTTGATTTGGGTTGTAACTTAGCCACTTTTCCCATTGACTTTTCTTTCTTTGTGAAAATAAGTCGTCCTTGAATTTAATTTCTGCTGAAGTTTTGAAGGAAATTACTAATGTAATTAGGAAATTAAATTAGGCTTACCGCTTGCTGCAGAATAGACAATTTTTAACTGTTGGGTGTGACATTAACAAAATCTGGTAACCTTTGCTGAAAGAGTTCTTTATCCCAAATCACTAAGTTAAAATCAAATTCGTTGAATCAATATAGATAATCGTAGGCGTCGAAAGAGCATATTTTTACGATCATCATCATTCTTTTTTTATGATTCAATAAGGTCAGTTTTTCTTTATTCTATCCAATTTGTTAATTTTTCTAAGTATTGCAAATTTTGAAACTTGGCACCACAAAACATAAAAACCTTCTCAATTCGATTTATAAGACAGCCAACCCGGATTTCGAACTAAAACTTCAAGTTTTGGCACGCCTTCTACATTGCCCGGGTTACAACCCATACACGAAATAAAACATGGTGCAAATTATGATTATAAACAGAAGTTGAGTAAAGTGTTGAGGATTGAGCAGTGACGATCTCCGACCTTACTGCTCGCCTATCTCCCTAATTTGATGGACCATTTATACCCATAACTCTGTAAAAACTGTATAAAATGATTTAACTATTCAAAATGTCGAAATTTTAACTCTTTCCATTGTTACAAATATAAAAAAGGACTGATTGACAACAATTTTAAACACTTCCCTTTTTACAACATATAAAAAAGGGCTGAATGGCACTACGGACATGTCTATTTAAACCTTTGACTTTTTACATACGTATAAAACTGAATGATTTATGATACTGACGTGTCTATTTGTTTAACCGTTTCACTTTTTACAGAAGTATAAAAAAGGACTGATTGGAAATATCGATGGTTTTAACTTGTACAAACGTATAAAGAAGGAATGATTCACAATACCGACTTTTTTAACCCTTTCATTCTTTACAGAACTATAAAGAAGGAATGATTCACAATACTGACGTGTCTATTTATTTAACCGTCTCATTTTTTATAGAAGTACAAAAAAAGACTGCTTGGCAATACCGACCCACAATTTTAAACATTTCTCTCTTTATAGATATGTTTGATGATTAGTGACCGTTAATCGATAATTATTCAGAAATCGTGAGATGCGGTCTGGTGTGATGTAGGTTTGAGAAAAACATTTTCTTTATCGTACTAACGTTTCGATCTTTATTGAGATCATCTTCAGGGCTCAAAGTGTTTGTCTTCTGTGTAATTGTGCCATTCTTGCGGGTCGTGTTGAGAGTGCCGGCACAGTTTCACAAATACACAGAAGACAAACACTTTGAGCCCTGAAGGTGATCTCAATAAAGATCGAAACGTGGCACGATAAAGAAAATGTTTTTCTGAAACCTACATCACACCAGACCACATCTCACGATTTCTGAATAATTAATTTTTATAGATATATAAAAAAGGGCTGATTGACAATACCGACGGTTTTTAACCCTTTCACTTTTTACAGACATTTAAAATAGGGCTTGACTGACATTTTTGGCAAGCCCTTTTATACCTTCATTTTTAATTTCTTAATTTTTCACAGACTAATCAAATGGAGACAACTAACAGTACAAACAAATATCCTTATCCCCTTATTTTTGTTTTTTTCAAATATGTCTGTGAAAATAGAATAGACCGATAGACTATACGCTAGCGGTTCCATAGCCCTCGATATATTATTGGAGATTGATTTCGAAAAAAGTATTGTGAAGTGGTTCTGACCCTTCGTCCGCGAATCCCATTGGGGAGCTGAACGTTGAGCTCTCCTATGTGGCCGAAATTACTTTACTTTTAAGTTTTTTACAGATACCCAGTTTCACTTTTTCTCTTTTCACAGCCAGATAGAAAAGGACTCAACTGACATAAACCATTCTAATCCTTTCACTTTAGAATCGACTGACAGACCAATGAAGATGGCTAGCGTTTGACATACCAAACCAGCGAGAGTAGGCGAACAATCTTGCGATGCTTTGATATGTTACGACCCAATACAAGCTTGAACCACTTCCTTGCTTTTAACCAATTTTGATGTTGGTAGATTCAGAATCCGTAAGAAATTTGAAATTTGGGTCTTCTAAATGAATGGCGTGTAAAATGTCTTCTTCCTGATAGAGTGTGTTTTACATAATTATATTCCGTAACAGCCGGTTGGTTTTCAAAATTCTTGCGGATCCCGAATCGCGCCAGGGTTCCCGTTTTTTGATGGCGCTTCTCGTTTTAGGGTACGTCGAATACGACAGACAACAGCTGGCCTACATGTCACTGACGATAGTTGCCGTTTTGCTGCCTCTCGTCTTGATACTGGTATGCGCCGGGGCTTGGGTTTACGGGCGGTACGCGAAGGACGTGAAGGCCGGAAACGGTTCCAGCTGGAAATTCGTGAGGAGGAGGGCCTCCGGGGAGCCCATGTTCCGCCAGAAGGAGGAACAACGACTCATGAGGAACCCGTCCAATTTCGACGCCGTTTACAACACCAACGAGCCCCTGCCTCACAGGCCGGTCATCGACTTCGAGGACAACGAGGCTCAGGAGACGGACAGCTCCTTCGAATCGCCCTCGACCTCCCATCCAGAGAAGATGAAGAGGCACGGCAGCGTCGAAACCGATATTTTCTGAGCCCCCCCCCCCCACAACCGCCACCCATACACTATCGGCTTACCCCTTTATATACAAAATACAGGATCCGCAAGAATTTTTTTCTTAGATCGAGTGTAAAACTCAAAACAATACAAAAATCAAAATGGCGAACCTTAATAATTATTCCAAATAATAGAATACGCCTTGAAAATTTGAAAGTCAAATCAAGACCCTACCTACGGTTTTTCTCGATTGACTATTTTCTCCAAAGATTTTCTTTATTTTTTAAAAGTGTTTTACAACAAAAATGTCACAAATAATCTCCAAATGAGGTCGAAGATCGACTGTGAAAGATAACTTGAGAAATCATTATGTAAACACTCATTGTCATTTAAAAATATAACATACCCACATTTTAAAAAATGTAATTAAATATAAATTATAAACTAAATTAGAAAGTTTTTACACACTAGATATTTTTTAATTATGTTTATTTAAGACACTTTCAACATATTCTACGATAAGTATGTGTTTGTTCTGTAACTGTTTTTGTAGGTACGTTAATCCCAAAAGGAGATAATAAATGTTTTAGCGATATGACGTAAAAATATGTTTTAATATTTTATAAATGATACCAAAATTAAAATTAAAATATAAATTGTTTAATAAATTGTCTTAGTTTTTCTTTTTTTGTAAAGACAAACTATTTAAACTGGTTGCTGTGTACATAAGCCTATCACTTCTTCCAGTCCACGGACAATTTCAGCTTTTATAATTTACAATTATAAGTAGGCCTCGGGTGTTGACAGTCCGGGGACAGACTTCGGTCTTATCCGTCCGGCCCCTCCAATAGGAATCTAAAATGAAGAGATAGCAATGTAATGAAAGACTATCCAACACTCATGGCCCAAGAGGTAACCTGAATTGGATGTTTGAGTTAAATCAATATTTCCAAATAAACTAAGATACTAAAAAAGAATTAAAAAAAGAGAAAAACACCTCCTTTAAGAATGGCAACTCTACTGGTACACAGATGGATCTGTAATGCAAGAAAGTACATTCACTCCTGGAACTAAATATGCCGAACTCATGGGAAAATACACCAGTATTTTTCAAGCTGAGGAACATGCGACCGAGAGATGTATCCAATTCAATCTGTACAAAGGATACAAAAACAAAAATATGTCATTTCAGATGGCCAAACAGCCATCACAGCAGTTTAAACATCATTAGCTCAAAGATGGTGATGATTTGCAAACAAATTAGGTATGCAAATCAAAGCCACCCTCTGCTGGGTCCCAGGGATTTTTGGGATTTGGAAGTCAACGAGAGTGTATGCCCTTGCAAGAAGAGGGGCTGCTATACTGTTGATAGGATCTGCGCCCTTCTGTGGCATTGGAATGCACACTACAAACAATCCAAGAACCTCCTAACAAACTTTGGAAGGAAATAAGTAACAGAATGCATTAAAGGAAGCAGGAAAAAACATAATCCTAACAGGATTCTTAAAAGAACACTGCAAACTAAATAGACATTTAAAGATCGGAATAATCCAGGACGGCACATGCAGATTCTGCAAAGAGGCAGAGGAGACACCAACATACCTATTAACAAACTGTGGTGCTCCACTCGCCCACAGGAAGAAGTGCTTTGGGATGTTCAACGTAACCGTAGAAGATATTCAACCATTGTACCTACTAATCATGTTCCTTGATGAACTAGGACTTAACTGTGTGCTTTAAACACAAAACGGGAATACATCTCAGGGCGCGGTATAAAACACACCCCGACTAATACATCTATCCGTCATCCTTCATTGAATTTCCATTATTTTTCTGCTTACAAAAAAATTAATAATAAATTTGAATTGTATTGATCCCTGTTGATTTATTAATATGACAATTTTGAAAAATTCCAAGAGTTTGGAAGAGCATTCACCTGTAGATTGTTTCTTAGCTCAGTGATCAATATTGACTTAGCTGTATTGACTCATTAAACGGGTTTTGAATTCACAATTTTGGTGTTTATCGAAGAGGATTTCTATTTGTAATGATGAAGTACAAGGGAAAGAACCTTTGCAAATATTGCATCCTATCATACAGAACTCTTGTATCACTCAAAAAAACCTGGCATTAACACAAACAGAAATGAATAAATATACTCAAAAAATTCGCTAATTTCATGGTCCGCTTGACCAATTAATGTACTACAATTAATTCAGGTTTTTAGTTGAGATAAAAAAGTCAATGGCACGAGCGGGATTCGAACCCACGATCTTCGGCTTGATACGCCGCTGCTCTACCACTTGAGCTATCGTGACCTCGATCCACTCGGACACCAACTTCCTATCTCAACCCCACCTTTTGAATTTTCCCTCCTTTTTGCCATTTTTCAAAAGGAGGGGTTGAGATAGGAAGTTGGTGCTCAAGTGGTAGAGCAGCGGCGTATCAAGCCGAAGATCGTGGGTTCGAATCCCGCTCGTGCCATTGACTTTTTTATCTCAACTAAAAACCTTAATTAATACTCAAAAAAGTTCATACATTACAAATTATATTTGAAATGGACTTTTATCTGTGATAATTTTTCTCTAAAACTACTTAATAAAAGTGTATGTATAAATGTACATATACATACAACTAAAAAAACAGACATACAAATATATGTGTTTGTACACTTTAAATTTTTTTATATACATATGCATTTAAATTTAAGAATTTTCTATAGATACACACATATTCGAAAGGTGTTTTTCATGAAAATGTCAATTTTTTAAAGTTTTATTAAGGATACACGCAAACAATATTTATGAACTTATATAAATTTGTTTTAATTTTCAAATTGTCAAGATATGATTGGGTTCCGAACCGGCCGGGAACCAATGATTTTTTTTCACCAAATCCTCCGTACTTGCACATTTGTTAAATGTTCTATGTTTGATAAACAGGAGAAGAAGAGTATTCCCTCAAGGCGATCGGTACGACTTGGTTGATCATTGCAGCCGTCATGGTCCCGCTCATACTCCTCCTCGTCTGCTCAGGGTTCCACTTTGTTAAAAGGCGTCATTACAAGATAATCAACGCACAGATGTATGTATTTTGTAAATATACTTTTTTTCTATTAATATTTTAATTTTGCTATATTGGCTTCTAGACCAACACGCGCTTACAGCCAGGAACCTGAAACTTTGAGAAAGGAGACAGAATTGGATTGAATATTTTCCTATAAATGTATTTTTTGTGTGTACATAATTACTTTTAATAAATAGTTTTTTTTTTAAATAGTAAAATTTCTTAATGGATGAATAGCATTCCAGAATTTTAAGTTTCATAGAACTGCAAATATTTCATTAATAGTTTATTTTATTTATTGTTTAATAGCCTTGTTTTCCATATTAGACAAAGAGTAATTACCGTATGTGTATTTGACGATGTATTAATATGGGGTAGCATGAAAAAAGGCCAGGAGTGACAGTAGGAATTAAATCTACAACCCTGAGGTACTACGAGCCAAGAGGCTATTATGCTGACCCCACTCGGCTATTGAAGTTAATAGTTCACGTTGACAAAATGGTTGTTTAAAAGAAGAGGTATCAATAAAAACACATGAACTTTTAAAAAATAATTTTTATATTAAAATAAACAAACAACTTCTTTCGATAACAATACTATCATATTGTATTAACATATATTACAATTTCTGTCAAATGGAATGTCAGACGATTCGTCATGCACGAATTTGTGGCAGGAAGAGCTTATTGAATTTTTCGACTTGAGTCCTGCAGACGGGGCAGAACTCAAGCCTGGGAGCACAGTCGAGGCAGGTGATCACATGAGCACAGGGAAAGAAGACCGTGTCTATTTGCCTGTCCATGCACACTCTGCAACACAAAAATAAATTATGCTTAAAATATACGAGTTCCAAAATATTACAAACGAGAAAAAAAATCCGTACCTGCAAGTGAAGGAATCGATGATTCCGGCGAGTCTGTATTCAGCGTCTTGCTGTTTTGTCTGGGGCTTGTTTTCCACTGGGGTGTACAGCGCCCTTCTTGCAGAGTCGTGTACTTCTCTGCACGTTTTCTGTATGTCGAACACATACTTCTTACCGAGAGGAGTCGACTCATTGAAGATAGAAGCGATGGTGCCCTTCAGGTCCCTCACATACTGGGAGGTGACGGCGCTTCTCACAGTGTCACAAGAGTAAAAATCGTGTCGTTCTGTTAACGACCTGTACAGCTCCGAGGCGGAAGCTACGCTACAACATTTGATCTCAAGTACGTCTTCGATGTGGTCAGAATTTATGTAATGAAGTTCAAAATGCCTTCGTAGTGACGATGTAGACTTAATAGCAGAATAAGGAATCCTACGGATTGATGTATATGTAGAATTTTTAAAATATTTATTTAATAATTTGTAAAAAAAAATTTACTTACATCTCTTCCTTTGGTGAATATATCCTTATTCCGTGTGGACCAATACCTATTTTCATGCCCTTTATATCAAACAACTCCTCACCATAATTTTCAAATTTTGATACTTCCTTTAAAACCCAGTATTCTTCTACTGCCTTCTTACGTGGTGGAGTCTAGGATAATAAGAAATATAGTTATAATTATATAAGTTATAACAATGATTTTGATAAACTCACCTCAGGTTCAAATTTGGGATCCTGGTCAAAAAGCTTTGCCCAGAATCTGAGCTTTTCAACAGACCAGGAACAGTCTTGACTTTCCGAGTTACAGATGAGTGAAAAAATACGCTTTTTAGATTCGTCCCCGTTCGGCTTGAGTTTCTTCGATTTGAGCTCATTTATGATCTGTGTATACATCAGATGCCTGCAAGAAAATCCCAGATTAAAATCATAAAATAAACGACGATGATAAGGACTCACCTAGTGGACTCAAGGAGGACGAGATGTGGCGCCGTCCAGAATTTGACCCTTAAATAAAACTTGGCCACTTCTCCCAAATTCTTCTCGATCCCGTTTCTGAGATTGAGCCATAACTCCTCCTCACCTTTGACATACTTGAGACCGAAGTAATCCAGCTCGGTGGACAACCCAAGTAATTCACATATCTACAAAAAAAGAAAAAAAAAATTAAATTCTCATTGCTTTTAAACTCATACAATCAATTATATTTTGTACTAAGGTGTAAAAAAGTGTTTGTCATATTCATGTATTATTCAAATTTATTCCAATCATTGGAACCCCCGACATGCTAAATGCAATGTTTAGTTAATGATCATTTGTTTCTCTTGCCATTGACTTTTTTGTTCTGATGAAAAAGGAGAAAGAAGAAGCAACAATTATTTCTTTACTTTAAACTTTTCTGTTCAAATTTTGAAGTTTGATCCAGTTGATTATTGCGTTTTTCCATTCTTATGCTTGCTGTTATTACATAGAATTTATATTTTGATGTTGACTTTATTGGGTGGTTTTTCATCTATAATTGAATGTAGTAGATTTTTTTAAAATGATTTTCGCCTGCGTACCTCGCTGTTTTAGTCTGATGACGAATTATGGGTTCAACACTAAGCAGACCTCAAGAGGACAACCCACAATATTTTTTTCTTTACTCTTTTGTTCAGCAAATTGTCTGTTCTCATACAAGATTTTTACAGGTCTTTCTTAAGATACAAGAAAAGAAAATCGCAGACTTGGCATCAAACTTGATCATACCAAAGCCAACAGGAGAAATTCAGACATCTTATAGCAAGAATATCGTTTAGCCTAAATCAAATTGGATAAAGTTCCAGTATTTGAGAAAGTTATTAAAATGTTTGACTTTTAATTTTATTTATTTTTTAATTAATTAATTAATTTTTTTAAAAGAGGTATTTCAACTACAAGGTTGTTATATGAATTCTTGGGTGCCTGTGTTTTTGAAATAAAGCCCATTTATAAGTACCTTAGAAGTGATAGCACCATGTCAATGCCTCAAACCATTGCGGCCGCCGATGCACCTTTTGACTTTTAATATACTGCTATTTTATTATATTTTAATGAGAATCAGATTAAATTGCTTCATTCTGTATGTTGTGTGAAGTTGGCAGATGATGTATACCTGTCAGGGACGATTTTAAGCATTTAGAACATTTTCAGCTTTTCTTCTAAACGAGTAACATTTTCTAAACATTTTCAGCATGACCTTTGCAACTCTATCTAACAGGGGCGATCAGTATGAAAGGAACTGAATGATCCACTACTGGTATGAGGTACAAAGGGATGAATGACTAGATTTAGTCATCTACCCTCCACCACTTCTCGATCCTCCCAAGTGGTTTAAAATCCAAGATGTTGAATTCATATTTGGATAATTGATTAGTTAGAAGCTGAAGCTCTTTCATATTTAATTAGGAGAAAAACAAGTTAGAATACCAACAAGTTCTTCACTAATTACCACATGTTATTACCTTCTTTAAAAAACTATTTGAACTAATGAAATTAGTTTTTCATGATCAAAAATGTCACTTCTATCCATTTTTTAAAAGTAACGGAGGCGTACAAAACATAAATGCCAAATCTGCTCAATACAGAATGTGAAAGGCACCATGATGTGCAATGTCCTGTCAGGTGCCTTCGTACAGAAAGTGCAACAAGTGGCCGAACATCCCACTCAACTAAAAATTGGTATCTTTTACTTGCACCTTTCAGTCTCCCCGCCAGACTGATAGGGTCTGTCCCAACGTTACCTCCATACCCTTGATATAAAACTCAAATACCTATCGCCTTACCCTATTCTTCAGCACCTAACGTCCAGCTTGTATCTCCAAGCGGTTTTATATATATATATTTTATATGTATATATTATATAATTATGCAGGGTGGGAAACAAAGACCCGAGGGGTTAAATAGGGGGTAGACTCGTACCCCATCCCTAAAAGGTCCGGGACTTGGTCGGTTCACGTGTCCTGCATAAATCTCTTGGACTTGTTCACAAACCCCAAGATTTTGGACCATTTTATCTCAGGGAGTGATTTGGTAATGTCCTCTCCTTCAAAAGTTTCGAATCTATGCCTGGCATGCCTATCACACTCTGCGAGGTAGTGCCGTGCCGTTTCTTCTTTTATTTCACAAAAACGGCAGAAGGGGTCTGATAGAATACCTATTATGGAGAGTTGTCTTCTCAGTGGGCAGTGGCCTGTCAGAATACTTATCAGCCTCCTAATTCCCTTCCTTGAGTTAGAGAATAGCCATTTCGATTCTTTTGGTTTGATCTCCTTCACAAACTGCGATTGCCTATGTCCAGGGGACAGATTCCATTCTTTAAGGAATTGTTTCATGCCCCCTCTATTAATACTCTCTTTCGCTGTGGTTATAGAGTGGGGTAATACCGGTTGTGGCCCGACAAACGCAGTATTAGATCCTTCTTTGGCCAGGCTGTCTGCCTCTTCATCGCCATAGTGCCCTTTATGAGCAGGTATCCATATGAGGGTTACCCCATTCTCATACCTAGAAGTGATCCTATTGATAAGTTCAACAGTTTCCTCCACCAGCCTAGATGTTGATAACTCTTTTTGTAATGACCTAAGACTGGCCTGACTGTCGGAAAAAATTCTACTATCTTTTCCCTTGATTTTATTATCCATAAGTGTTCTCCAGCAAACATTAATGGCCCATATTTCCGCATGAAAAATGGAGGTGTTATTACCAAGAGGGGAGGAGATGCTGATCCCTAATTTAGAAAGCGCTTTTCTATAACACTCATGCTTTTGTCATTAAAGCCATTCATAACTTTTTCCTTTCTGTTATATATAATGTGAAAAAGAGATGATGTTCTCTTCTTTTCCTTGTCTTCTATGCAAAATGACAGGTAGGCATTGTATGAACATGTTAAGCTTGTTTCGAATTTGTTTAACAGTTCTTTGGCAATCAACTTTTTTTTTCCTGTGCTTCGAACCAATCACTGGCTACTGCCTCGGATTACAAGCTGGGTGTCCTCAGTTCCTTTATTCGACATGTTGGCTATTGCTGCTACTTGGAATCTTCACGTAAAGTTTGGAGAGTCTTCATCACTCTTGCAGAAAAGCCTTGGCTCAATTATCACAGCCCACTTTGGGTTTAATTACATTGCTTTCACCTTTTCATCGACCAGGATCTCAGCATACACACAGTCGTCTTGTCGTCTACGTTGGAACTCCATATATTTAATGTTCCCATGGATTTTCATCAGGGATTACTTGCGTACCCCTGGCAAATGATGAAGTTTATTGTCATTATTAATTCCATTACAACTCCCAATAGACCTTTGGAGGAAAAATCCGCCAATTCACCACAAAATGATCATTATTTAAATTTGACCCTTCAGGATTTTTGTTACAGTTTTCAAGTCAAAAACAGACATATTTTGTAGAAGATCAACCTCACACTTGCCGGGCAACAGATTAGCATTGTGTATAATATAAATGGTGATAAAGAAACTAATATCTTTTAAATTGACGCCCGATACAAGCCAGCGCGGTAAATATAATTAATTTTATATTATATCAGAACGTCTACGTGAAAATCCGCATGTTTTGAAAGCTGGTCAAACAACTTGGGAATAATTTCAGTAAAAGGGAAATTTTAAAAATAAGTTGTGTTCGATTATTGCCGAGTAAAGTTTTCAAAACACGGCGATTTTTTATTTAAACCCGGCACGATTGTTTTTTAAATGGAACAGCTAATTTTTATGGTTAATATGTACACCGAATAAATCATATTATTGTTAACCAGAGTTCTTATATTGCGTTTTATATTATTCCTTGTTTATTGCTATTAAAAAACAACATGAGTAATCTTAAAAAATGGCTGAACCCGATATGACTAAACTCACTGTTTATGCATATTTTTATATAAATTTATTCTCGACTTTATTGTAATTTTATGCAAAACTGTTTAACAAGAACCCTCTCTCTCTCTCTCTCTCTACCTCTCTCTCTTTCTCTCTGTGACTCGCACTCGTTCGCTCTGTGACTCTCTCTCTTTCTTTCTGTGACTGACTCTCTCTCTCTTTCTGTGCCTCTCTCTCTCTTTCTCTCTCGTTCGCTCTGTGACTCTCTCTCTTTCCCTCTGTGATTCTTTCTCTTTCTTTCGGTGATTTTCTCTATCTCTCCTTCTGTGACTGACTCTCTCTATCTCTTCTTCCTGTGACTCTCTCTTTCTCTCTGTGACTCTCTCTCTCTCTCTCTGTGATTCTCTCTCACTCTCTCTCTCTCTCCCTCTCACTTTATACACTTTACTTTGTTATTTCTATTTCATGTCTGTTGTGACTATAAACAAGTATTATAATTGTAATTACACGTTAAGCGTAAGAAAGACCTAACTTTTGCATGTATTTTAATTTAAAAAGTCGTTAATCTCTCTCTCTCTTTCTATCTTAGTTATTTATTTTTAAAGCCAGCGTGCTTTATCTACAGCGACAATTGTTTATGTAAGGGAAAACAAATCAGTTGACACGATACATTTTTGCGATAAATTCTTTCTATTATTATTATCTGTTTGGTGCAAGAACAATTCTAGGTAGAGAACAAAAACAAAACTGTCAACAATAGCAAAACGGACGTACGCGCGCGAGGACGTACGAAAATAAAATTGTTTCGATCTACTGATGATCTGCGATTTTCCTGTTTTACAAAACAAGAAGGACTCATCAGGAAACTATAAGGGATGCTACCAAAGCAGTATTTAGATATTATCAGCTCCTACCTGGCAAACTTTAGAGTCAAAGAAGAAGACCGATATTCTGAACTCAAAACAATAAATGCATGAGTGCTATTGGGTTGTCCGGAAAATAATGCAGGATTTTAAGTTTTCATTAAAAAAAATCTATATAAAATATTCTGTTTACGTTTACAGGATTACTCATTTGTATGNAAATTATTTTGATTAAAGAACATTGCTTTAAAGTAACTAGTTTCTTTTTTTTTGTTTAATACCAAAATCCTGCATTATTTTCCGGACAACCCAATACAAGGTAGCATATTAGGTTCAATATTTTACTTGTTATACACCAGTGATTTTGCGAAACCAGATTTAGTAAAATTGCTACACTTGCAGATGACACAGCGGAAATGTCAGAACGACCGACCATCAA